TGTGTGTGTGTGTTGGTGTGTTTTGTACGTATAGATATGTTCGTTCATATATATATATATGTGTGTGTGTGTGTGTGTCTGTTTGTGTCTATGTATATGTATATGTTTATGTAAAGATTGCTCATATATACCGTACGTATATGCTGTATCTTTTTATATATTCTTTTGTGTGCTTTTATTTTTGTGTATTCTTCAACATGCGGGTTTTTATATTTATCCATATGTACATATTTACAAGTTGTATACATATGTATGTATGTACGTATATGTCTTCTGTCTGTGTCTGTATATATATATACATATATATATATATATATATATATACATAGTGTATATATATATACCTGTACATGTTTCTGTGTCTGTATATATATATTTATATACAAATTATATACTTACATATGCACTCATCTGTTTGTTATTTTGTTTATGTTTGTGCCTTTATATAGATATCTATATAACTATATATATATATGTATATATATATGTATATATATTTATATATATATATTTGTATTTATATTGATATTTAATTTTATATCAATTTGATTTTCTATATATATATATATATGTATTTATATTCATATTCATATTTCTATTTCTATTTCTATCAATTTGAGTTTATATATATATTCATATATATACTATTTTTGAGAAAGACCTTATAAATCCGCGTGTATAATTGATCGAAATATACATATGTATATGTATATATACATATATATATATATGTGTGTGTGTTTGTGTGTCTGTTAGTATGTATGTATGTATGTATGTGTATATATGTATGTATGTATATATCTGCATGTATGTATGTATATATTCATGTATTGTTGTATTTTTAAATGTATATCTATATATATATATGTGTGTGGGTGTGTGGTACGTGGTGCCTGTGTGTATCGGTGTATCGTGAACGCTTTTCGCTCTCATACTCCGGATTCGTTTTACGCCCGGTTTATAGCTTTTTATGCACAAATTGTGTATGTGCTGTCGACCCTGTAGATAAATCCTTCAAACTCGTGTCCACAACTACTTCTTTTTCACATTTAATTATGATTGAATTTGCACCGACGTTTAGCTCGATGATCACGATCTACGGGTCGTTATCCGATGGGTAATCCCTATCATATCTTCACAATGCTCGCTAATGCATCTCATCTGCTATGTACAGGTTAATCAGCATGGCTAGTCTTCTATCTCTAAGGGCTGCGTCGCACGCACGCTTCGCACTCAACCGCGCCGCTGCAGTGCCAGCGTTCACACACGTGCACCAACACGTACCCAACCGTGGGTCTAAGACTGAGCTTGTTCCCAGTAATGCAGCCGAGTACGCACTCACAACTGTGGATAAGATTGTAAACTGGGGTCGAAATGGCTCTCTCTGGCCTATGACTTTCGGGTGTGTTGCCCGTTGCTCGTGAGTGCCTGCTTGATTATCCGATTGAGTTAGGAATCTACACGTGCCAGTATACCCATGTGTACTATTACACACACTAGCTAGAACTTATAGTATCAGCACGGTTGGCTTTATGTATGTATACCCCTTGGGCTGCTCATGGTTGATTTAATATTTAATGTGCATACATCTCATCTGTTAGTTTGTGCTACGTGCTCAGTTGGCCAGTGCGAAAGTGTATGAGATTGTTCTCTTCCATTCTGGTTCACGTTCGGGTATCTAGTCTCTGTTTCGAGATGCCCAGCTGATTTTGGGTTTGAGCACAGGAGTATGCAGGTATTGATGCTTAGATGACTCCTCGGTGTTGCACGCGTCCGTGAAGGTTTCATTTCGCTCCTGTTGTGGTCTCGTGTTCACAACACTCGTACACCACCATTGTGGACGATCACTACATAGAGAAAAAAATAATGGCGTATATCTCTTGTCATATTTGCTTGCGCCGACAATCCGCGCCCCGCTCGGCTACGTTCGCAATTCACCCACTGTGATTTTATATGTTGTTAGCTATAGACAATCCTTTATTTTCATTTATTTTGCTGCCATAGCAATCGATATACTCTCCGACCATATACATAGGTAGTTTCAAGGAGTATTTCTCTCCTCACTCGCTGCCTGCTAGTTGTACCTTCATCTAAAAGGCCTGTTTGCTACTATAAAGGCCCACATTCTCAACTCTGTACAGGCTTCTCCTCACACTTGAATCCTACTCTCACTATTAGACTGGCCTGCTGCGCTGTAGAAATGATGCACATGGCAGCCCCCCGGTACGATCAAGATCGTCTGGGTATTGTGTTCCGCGGTTCCCCGCGTCAGTCCGATATCATGATCGTTGCCGGTACCCTCACGAATAAGATGGCTCCCGCTCTCCGCAAAGTATACGATCAGGTATGCGAGAACATCTCAACCACCCTAATTGGATGCGCGTGTGTCAGTGTTTGTCGTGGATGTTCACCCCAGAAAAGGGTCATGCCTAAAATGGTTCAATTTTGGGCTGTGAGACAGAGGTTTCATGCGCATCTGGCTCAGCAATTTGACGTCTGCGTTATTCGGCAGTGGTTCTTATCAGCACATTTTTGCGCCGCTGGGACGGATTTTGAGTTAAACCACTGGCTATTTGTTTTCCCTAAAGTACATGCTCCAGTTGTGCTCATAAATTTCTCGATGTTACTTATATCGAATCCGCATGGTGCTTGAATCGAAAACCCCTTATTCACATCAACTACAAGTACTTGGCTTTCAGTCAGTACTACCCGACACACGCGTGCATTGCGTTAGTCTATTCGGGGTTGTCTTGACAAATCGTGTCGGTGGCTGTAGTCACTGTCACTCACAATACGATTTCTTATCCCCTGACTACACTACAGATGCCCGAGCCTCGATGGGTAGTGTCCATGGGAAGTTGCGCAAACGGAGGTGGATACTACCACTACTCGTACGCCGTAGTGCGTGGGTGTGATAGGATCGTGCCCGTGGATATCTACGTGCCTGGCTGCCCCCCTACCGCTGAAGCTCTGATGTACGGCATGATGCAGCTGCAGAAGAAAATTGGCCGCAGTCGACAGGCCACTTTGTGGTACCGGAAATAGAGTCGAGGACTGCCGCGAGTCAATATGGGATATATATGCTGTATATTTCCACATATATGCATGTAGATGTATGTGTGTGCCTTAGATCCAAGCTCAGAACAACAGATTGTGGCCGATCATGGGCCATCAATTTGGGCCAGCAGTCGTTGGAATCTCGCCAAGTTATCTTATTATGGTCACGAGTATTAAAGCCTTGCCTTTTATATATAGGAGTGTTCATCGTACGCCGATTTAATGCTGCATATCTGACGCAAGACGTCACAACTATACTTTTTCATGAAAGTTGAAGCGCCATTACAACTGTACTTGTTTGAAATTTGCTATTTACACTCTGGTGCGTTAAGAGTACACATGTTTTGTATACTACTACAGATATCAAGATGAAAGTTGGTCATTTCTGAACCAATATGGTTTGTATGCGCTGTATGTAGTACAGTCACGTCCCTTACCGCTTCTACATATGACCGAAATAGTAAAACAAATATATGCAACCTCTGATTATGGTAGTGTTCAGTCACATCCTTCGCCTTCTTCACGATTAAAATCACTCATTACCATCCAACCGCTGTTTCTGAGTTCACAGAGAAAAGAAAAAAATCTAGGAACTCGGCCATGCAATTGTGGAGGCTGGAAGGGTTTCCTTTAGATGTGGTATATTCGACCAGATCGAACGTGGTGAAGTCTCTGAATCAGAGCTCAAGGCCAGATGATTGTTGATTTTCTCTTCGCCTGTCGAGACTCAACCACACCTCTAAATTGACTGTACTCTATTTAGTAGAGAGGGCAGGGAGAGGGCAGGGACGCAGGGTTTACAAATCACCCCCATTTACGCATTTACCTGTGGCCGGCTGTGGTCTGTGGGATTGTGGGCGCCTGTAGCTGCGGGCCTTTTTTTTGTGTTCGATTTTTTTTTGTGTTTATTATTACTATTTAATTTAAAAAAACTTTATATACACATCAAGGCTCAAACCCCTCTAGTATTTACTAGTAGTCCCTACGGCGGCCTAGAGAGTACAGGCTAGGCACAGAGTACACGCCACACAGTACAGTCACAGTGGCCCAGTGCCCTAGTCCCTCTGTCACTCCTTCACCGAGGCCTCTCTGGGACCTGTCTCAGTCTGGCTGTCTGCCTGTCACCTGTCACTGATGACTGGAGTGGTGACTTTGCTGTGTGGACTGTGGACTGTGCGTCTGTGGGACTGTGCGTCTGTGGGACTGTGGCTGTGTGGGCATCCGCATTCAGATTCCAGAGAGATCATCGAATTTCCAAATGAAGTAACTTTGCCCAAACTCAACCCGAACGTCTAAACTCTAAACCAACGGAATTCAATTATTTTGTAGGAGTTCCTACTGAATAGACTTTATGTTAATTTTTAGCTTTTTTTTACTTTTATTAAAAAAAACAAATAAGAGTTCTACATACAAATTTATGTATTTATATTTAACATAAAGCAAATTGGATTTGTCCGCGTATAAGTCACAGTATCGGGCGCGCGCACAAACAACTACACACAGTCAACTACAAACAGTCAACTACACACTCAACTACATACATAGCTAACAGACAGTCACGTATCCGCAATAATGGAAAAGGCAATGACCGAGTCCTCAACGGACCTTTACGACTATGAAGATGATGTTGATAGTGGGGATAAATCCCCATTCAAAACAGCAAATGGACGCTATTGCTATGGAGGAATGAGCAAGTGTGGATTCTGTGGGCTAATGGTGTTCATTGGTTTCGCCGTATTCATCGCGATCATGGTGCCTGTAATTTTCATCTCGATTGGCAGCAACATGGCGCAGAGTACAACTGACAACACAGTCGTAAGTTTCCTTCTATATACTTGCACATTCTGTGGTGATATTGTGGGCAATGAATTTAAGCTGCATGGTTTTTGTTACGCGCTAATTCACCACCTTCATTGACTCGTGCAGGAGAATTGATTCGTGCAAAATCCAAGTACTTATTTTGGTATACAGTTATTCTATAAAAAAAATGCACACAATGTGATCGTAATTTAATTTCCATTCAGACTCGTGTGACCTATTATGATACTAAATTTTAACCTATATATACAGATTGAAATCACCAAAGCGTCCATTGTTTGGTGGGGACAAAACTATAAAGATACTTGTGGGTCTAAGGGTGAGTGTACGATGCGCTTAAAGGAAGGCGAAGGTAACGACACCGACACATGCCAGACAATAGGAACTCCTACATGTAACTCGGTACCCACAACCATCCCCAACCTGTTAATTATGAATCAAACATTGAGGTTCAGTAACGTCGCTATTCCTGGTGTAATTCAAAGTGGACGTTTCGATATGTTATACACCGTCGAGAATATGGGCAATCCTGAGGTATTACCAGGAACAGAAGGCATGGTTCTTATTGGCGACTTATACGTACCCGAGATCGATCTACACGGTCTCGAGGATGGGGTAGTCACAATCGAAGACATTGAGGTGATTTTGAGAGTACGAGATCCATCTTTCTTCTCCACTATGGCCGCACTGAAAACCGCACCTGGAATGGGAGGGGTAAGTAACTAAACATTCAATCTGAGCGTTGTGACTAAATGGACATTTGATATGTAGCGAACACACAGTGAACTCCTTTCTGGTTTACGTAGGCAATGTGGTGTTGAGTGCATCGGATTGCATAGTTTTTGAGCAAGCCGAGATAGTGATTTCTTCTTGTTGATGTACGTCAACTGGAGGCATTATACCTACAAGCATCTGCCACAGGAGACCGCAATAGGATTGCTTTTCACTGCTTAAGTGTACCTTAAATACCGTTACATATCGGTGGATTTTATGTTGTCTTGGCGATTTTCTGAAGCTTTTAGAATACTTTCAGATATTTCATATTTTTCTGCGGTTAAAGTACGATACTACGTAGCGAAGGAGCACAACGTACGATTGTACGTTTTAAAAACGTGGCCACGTACAATGTTAGATGCATTTATCCTATAGTTATGGTTTCGTGAAATGTTATATCTTGTTACAAGCCATGTCTTGTGATACTGTGAAATAGTACGTGTAAAAGTGTATCTTTGTGGTATAACTTTATTTTCTCACACTTGGCCGCTCTGAAATGCTTATTTCACACGTGTAACAAAGTTGGCTTTATTCATGATTGCACAATGCCCGGTCAGATCCAGATTTACTTTCTCCATGTCATCTCTCCTCATCGAAAATTTGACGCCTTTTTTTCTAGGACTTCCATTCTTGTCGATTTGTATTGTTATATCACGCTTATTTGTCCTCATATATATATATATATATAGATGCATAGATGCAAGAACTCTTTTACGCTTTAACTTATCATTCAACTCCCAGTCACTCTACGCTCCCTCGCATACTCGTCTAATACTCTCGATACATTTCTGTCTATCTGAACCTGTAAATAGATTTGGAATATGCAGAGTGGTACCACAATTGTTGAAGCCAATCTGCTAGGTACTCTGATGTACTACAAGGCGACCATGGCATCAATGATATATAATGCAGATCTCTGGCAGTGCGACGGTCCCATGGCCCTAATGCCGAGCTTCAGCAAGGAGTGCCCTTGCAATTCCGACTGCATCGTTTGGGAGCATTGAATGCAGTGATCACACCTCTCACGGTATAATAACACGTATAGCAACAAAGATATATAAGTATAGAATTGAATCTGAATAGAACCATATCATTAAATCAATAACAAACTATTACTTCGTGAGAGTTCAAGTTCACAACATATACTGCAATTTTCAGATGCAAACAAGTAATCTTTTAACCACACTCGAATGGGTAAGAATGCTTCGCAACAATATATATATATATAAATATATCATATATATATATATGTATATATATATATATATATATATATATATATATATATATACTATATATATATATATATATATATATATATATATATATATATATACTATATATATACTATATATATATAT